AAGTAATAGTTTTCTTCAGTTCACAGCATTTTACTCCCATAAATTACAGTTTTTTTTCCCTTTAATGTTCTCAGATTGCCTATATAACTGACAAGAAATTAATCATCAAGCATAATAAAACGACCATGTTCGACCTCTAGTTCATGTGGTTGAATTCGATTATGAAATGATCTTTGAGAAAAGTAGGATTTGATTGAGGTTGATTAATGCCTAAATTAATCTGTTCTGGCTATTATTATGTACTTTGTAATTCGGGAAAATCAACAGTATAATTATCAACGTAAACATCCCCATCTAATTTGGAACATAGAAGCGGATATGGACCAGGAACAACTCAATAACATCATTAATTATTAAAGCAAATGATTTCTGTGAGAGCCACTAAATATTCATTCAACATTAAGACCATAAGTGCCTATGTAATAGAAACAACTCAACGGCATTAAAAGCTATTAAAGCAAAAGCAAAGTTATCAGCCCAGAGATTTGGTTTGAACTGTGTGGAGAACAAGTTCATGACAATAAAAGTGCTCATTACTTAAGTTATTGGAGGGAAAACACGGGAGTGTGGAGATATTACATATTCCTGGACATATTTTTTAGGATTATTTGGGTCAGGAATCCAGTGAATCTCACTCAAGTTTGGTGTCTCAAACAAAAGCCATAGTAAACTCTCCTACCTTTCTACTCTCCCTCTCTTGCCTGCCCTTAGTACAAGATTATTACGGTGGTAAGAGAAAATACCATTGGCCAAATGGATGATGTCGCCTGGCTCGAATACGTCACACTCATCTCCCCAGAACTGATAGTGAACTGCTGCAGTCTCATCAGCTACAAGTGCCAAGCATGTCTTATTTTGCCCTTCTAATGTTGTCCTTCCTTTCTCCAAAAGTATAAATTTTGTATCTATGTTGTTCTGTGCTGCAGGCACTATCTCTTTGAGAAGCAGCATCAATGCTTCCTTGCTGCAAGAACTTGCAGGAAAATAACTTCATTAGCGGACATGAAAAAGAGAGAGAGATTATGTTTCAGAGTATATAACCTTACCATGGGCACCTCAGCAATAGAAAACCAGGATAACTTATAATTGCATACAGACAGTACATCGACACAATCGCATGTTAAGCATTGTAACAGTTGAGTAGCAGTTGATAAAGCTAACATTGTGTTAGGATGAAATGAGATGGAAATTAAAATACATTAACTCAATCTACACAACGTATAAAGGTACTTGTTACAATAGTTCATTAACCAAAATTCTAACAACGGAACTTTTCTTCAATTATCATGAAACAATAATTGAAGCCAGACCAAAGATCAACGGCAGAAAAACTAAATCTATTTGTCTATAAAAACCTTGTTACATTCGTATCTGCAAACTCAAAACCTCACTTCAAGACTTCACTGATTCAATTGGCCACTATTTCAATGTCCTATGTCAATTTTACGTAATGTGATTAAGAGGGAATCCATTTATGCTCGAGAGATTTATCCCTCAATACGTATAGTGTATCTGTGTTTGACAAGTCAGAGAGACATTGATGCTCGATATATGCCTGCCTAACTCCAGGCCATTAAACATCCCCCATAATTTAAAAGCTTGAACCAGCTATGCTTGAATCCTATCATCTTAACCATTCTGCGACGTTTGACAAGGACTTTATATTGGTAATCCATAAAATTAAAACAAACTTGTTCGATGAAAAGTTTGCATCATTACACGCAAAATACTATCTAAAATATTTTCGTCTAATCCCAAATCAACATGCAGCAAGGAATTCAAACTAAATTAATTTCGGATAAATCGATATTCGAGACCTGAGTGTGAAGTATCCAACCTTCTTCGACGAAGCCGCGATTCCGACGTTTCCAGGGAGTTCTTGATGCAGGGAATCGTCGGTCGTGATAGAATCAGCTGAACAAGTGAGGGCTCAAGCGATGGTTCGGCAACTAGGATGAGGATTCAATTAATGAAATCTTTCCGTATGGAGCAGTGGTGATGTCTAGCCGGAGACGGCGACGGCGACGGCGGTGAGGGATACCATCGTACTGCAGCTGCACTGTATCATCGCTCCTTCTCGCCGATTACCGAACCCGGTGATCGTAGACGCCGACTTGCCCTTCCCCACACGCTCTACCGAAAGAGATCGCTCAAAGCGCCTTTCAAATCTGCCCAAGATTTTTTTTTTGTCGGTTTTTTCATTCTGCCCAAAGAGGAAACAAGCTAAATAGGTAAAACTTGTTTCCTGGATGACTCTCTAACATTTTGAAGGGCAAAAATGAAAAATCATTAAATACTTTTACAGGTTATATTTAAGAAAATATTTAAATAGAAACCAAATCATAATTTTAGAAGTAATTTTACGATATTTTATCTCAATCTATAAAAAAAAAGTGTTTTTAAAAATCACTTTTAGGATATCCGGTATCTTTTGAAAAATTCCGTATGGAGTAATACTGGGGAGTTATGTGATGGGTATTATTTCTATTTTCCAGTGTATTATACTATGATTTGACAATGGAGCTTGATCATTTAGAAGAAGCTTGGCAATACTGTATCGCTTTATGCTAGACTGGTTTTGGGGTTAGAAAACAATAGTGAGACTGAGACTGTCAAAATTTATTCAAATAATTGAAGTCTTCCATAAATTCCAAGTACAACATTACAAACATTTCATGTTATACACAACATCCTTATTTTTCATTTTACAATTGCAGTCTCACATCTCAACATAGATTCACAAAGTCAGCTACGCTGAAGGCAGTTCGCAGCTCTCCTCCAATCAGCTCTTTTTGTGCACCTCCCTCTTTGATTCACGTCTCAACGTAGACCTTTTTGTTCACAGCTTTCATTGGTGCACATCTCAACGAAGCTCTTTTTGTTCACGACTCTCCATGATTGAAGCATCTCACAGCTCTCTCCATACATACTGTCGTTTTGTTTCCTGCATTTTATCTCTCATATAGAGCAACTCAGATCACAATTTCAGGTGCTATTTAAGCAATAGTCAATGAGTTACCACTTTTTGTAGGACATGATCAAACTCGTTACATTTTGCGCGTATGCAATGGGCAATTGGGTAACATTTTTACTGTTCAAACAGAGGTTTACCTATTTTACCAATGTTACCCAATTTTTACCAGTTCAGAGACACGACTGATTTCTTTTAACTCCAGATCAACCAAGACGAAACACAATATTAGTCTAATATCATTCAAGCACTAAAAAGAGTGGGCAATTTTACCTATTTCACTGTCACAAGCAGCTTCTGGGCCCAAAATTTCGTGGGGCTATCTCACTGGCAATATCACCCCACAGTTCAGCGATGGCAAGTACACTTCCCATTTTGTTTTCTTCTCTGTTCGTTTCTCATTCCCACACCAAGCAAGCATCAATAATCAAAACCAATTTCTAAGTGTTGTGTAGAAAATATGATGCTTGTATCAGGAGGCTCGACAGAAGAGTCCTCTTATGAAGCATGACAACAAAATAACACCACCCTTATAAACACAAAGATATGAGAGGGGGGTGGTTATAGTATAAGCACAGTACCTCCCCATCGCCTTCACACTCCTCTCCCGTCTCAAGCATTTTAAGGTCAAGGTTAATTTTTGGAAAAGTTCATGATGTTTGGCAAGTAACTTTTGAAAGTGAAATTCTGTAATATGCATTACAAGAATTATTAATGACTACTTATTTTGTATAAAGAAAATTCATCAAATATGCTTATTAGAACAATCAAATTTTTTTCAACTAGATATAGAAATTTCATGGTCACTAATTTTTTTTCACAAAGAAAAATCAATCAAATATGCTTATTAGAACAATCTAATTTTTTTTTTAACAGGGCACTAAGTCCCAGACAAAGAAAAAAGTAAAAAAATATAAGCATGCTTACGAGAACAATCTAAATTTATGGGAAAGGAATCGTCTTGCATAAACAAAAAGACAAATTGTAACATAAGAATCCCAGCTAAATGAGAGAGCCAAAATTAATGACCTAGAGAAAGAACAAAGAAAGGCAACAAAACCGTTGGGAAAATGATTCTGAAAAAACGAAATTTCACAAGTTCTTAGCATGCTTTGGTGCAAAAAAGAATAAGGAGTACTTGAGCTCCATCTGCAAAGACCTTTCTTATCATCCTCATCGTCTTCAGCAGCATCAGCTGCAGAGTTGAGAGCCTGCAAACTTGCTACCAACTTAGCCTTCCTCTCCTCGTATGTGAGTGTTTTCAGGTTGCACCTGCACAAGACACACAAGATTAGTCTTTATAACTCACCTCTGCTCAGATACAATGTGAAATTACCAGTGCAAATATTCAGAACCTTGAGCGCACCAAAGACACGATTGCCAGTCGTAGTCCTAATAAGACCAACATCAAGAAGAGCACGGAAAGGCCTCCCTAGTAGCAGAAGGATCGACAGAAAATTCCTCTCCTGAAGCCTAACCAATAACAATGTCTCCATCCTTATGAGCACAAAAATATGGGAGACAAAGAGGGAGAGTCTGCATATATACCTCTACATTGCCCTCATACTCCTCTTCCGTTTCAAGCATTTTAAGGACTCGACGAGCCAAAAGAAGACCAGTGAAATAAGACGGTTAAAAATAAATAACCAAATACATGAATCAAAAGGATTATGCAAAGGTGGAAGACATAGTGAAAAACAGAAATTTTGTCCAAGAGGTACCTGCAGCACAGTTTGCTAGACTTCAAGTCCATAGCGAGGCAACTGAGGTCGTATGCAGCAGCAAGAACAATATTGCCAGCACTATTAGCTGATGTTATTTGTGTAATAACATCTTTCTTTGTGTCTAATAATGAGGTTAAGGTTTATACTCAAGGAAACATTATCAAGGAAATAAAGTTTCACAAAGTCTAAGCGACACAGAGTTATATACATTGACACTAAAGTAATACAACCTAAACTGAATTCTACGCATAGAAAGTGAAATTATGCCAATCAAAACAATTACATGGTTTCTAAACTTCTCTAATTTATTGCCAGAGGAAAGACAAATTATTTAGATCCGTGTCTTCAAGAAAACATGATAACCATTCATCATTTATATCTACCTCAATAGAATAACCAGGAAGCACCTCAGTACCTTCAACTTTGTTGCTGTCTTGATTTAGCTCTTCAGGAAATGGAGCATCCTGTTCACATTCAATTTGAGAGCTGATTAATTTTCCTTTATTATTGTCTTGGTTTAGCTCTTCAGGAAATGGAGCATCCTGTTCGGACGCAATTTGAGAGCTGATTGATTCTCCTTCATCTTTCCTCATGCATCTGGGCCTGCTGATCCTGGAGACCACATACCCATAATCTGAAGAATTGTGTTCCTTTTGATGCACAAGACAACCATCAAGTCTGTACTCGTGCATTGTCCAACCATTTGTCCTCCTAGATCCTTTTTTCTTGGGCTCTTCTTCCTTCTTCTTCTCAATGAAGGAGAAGGCCCTCTTCGACCCAACATGTTTCTTCCCAGCGTAGATTTTCATGTCAGATTGACACCTCCAAGTACCAAACTTTGTGGCTCTCACAACCCTTGAAGAACAGCCATTTTTTTGGGTGCTCCAGTTCCTTAGTTTAGTGAAGAAGTAAAGAGTTTCCACTTCCCGATCATCAAACATCTTCCTCCAAGAACTGTCACCTCCATAAATGTCACAATCAATAATTGCATTACAAGGGAGGGGTTTGCCATTCACCTTCTTGTACAAGTAATGCCAAATCAATTCTTGGTCTGTTGGGTTAAACTTGTACCCTGGTGGAATTATTTCCATTCTCCGCAAGCAACTAGAAAATATTTGCAATCTATAGAATACGACGGGTCTCTGTCTTCTCTGCTTTTGAGTTTCACTGCATCAAGAAAAATGGTACAGTCAGCTATAGTCAACAATAGAATATCAAGTCATCATAAGCCATTAAGAGCAAGCGATAGAACGTGTTTTACATATGTACTCTGCGCTTTACACCAACACTGCATCATTCTATAAGCTCTATTCACACAGTTATTCATACGGTACTCTATTCACACCGTTATTATTATACAGTTCTAAAAATGCTTTAAAATATCATCCTTCTTTGTCAAAGCTCAAAAGTAAAACATTTTACATGCCAACGACTACAAGCGTAAAGTAATAGTGCATCTTACAAATTAGAATGAAGGTGGGAAAAAAACTAAAAATACCACACGGTCAAGAACATTAAAACACAAATCGGACTGCTGAAGTAGACGACGTAGCATTCTTATTTATTTACTTGATAACAGAAAAGGGCGAGAGGCATGAACTAAGGCACTACTTACCTACCGAAGGAAATGAAACCCAAAATCCAAATAGAAGCAGAGAAGGTCCAGGCGTTCAGCCCCGACTATTCAAATCGCTTTGAATCAATGATGACAATGATGACCACCAAAGAACTTAGGGCTCAGAAAGCTAAGAGGAAATCTTAAGAAAGCAGAAGCGTGATGAGAGAGAGAGAGCGCGAATGCGAAGGTGATTGAAAACAAATGAAGAGTTGGCTTTGATTAATCATGGAAATAGAAACCGCCTTAATTCCCAATTGGATTTGACCGTTGGAGAGATTTTGAGCTCCGATAGAAGATGAAGTTCTTGGCGGTAACGTGCTCTTCTTGGAAGCTAAATGGCGCCATTTTGAATTGGACCGTTGAAGCTTCCGCGCCCCCGCCCCTTCTCTCCGGTTCTGAATTTACGGTTGATGCCTCTTCAACCCCCCCCCCCCCAAAAAAAAAAAAAAACTCTCCTCTTCAAATTAGCAGCATTATCATTTCCCCCTTAATTTTTACTTCACTATAATAAAAGTATGTTGAGTAAAAAAATTTTATTTATTACTGATGGTAGTTGGATCAAAATTAACTCTTTTCAAATAAATTTGAGGATACAATTTTTTGAAAGATTTCATTTTCAGGTTACTCTTAGTTAAGCTTACATTTTCGGATAACTCGAATGATCATATAATTATGCCAATAAAAATATTTTTTATACATTGCTTATATAATTTAAACACTGGAAATAAGCTTTACTTATGTAAAAACATGTAGCATGTTTGCCGAATTTTTATACTATTACCATTTTTAAATAGTTTAAGTTATTATAAAATTAATATTTAATAGCCTTATTAATGGCACTTTTTCCAACCATATTAATGATAACTGATAGTTATTTTTATGATTTTTTTGCCAACTATTTATATGATTTTTTGACGGAAGTCATTTTTGAGTTTCAAAAATATATAAAATTGTTTGAAAAAATAACCAGTTAAATGAGACAATATTCAATGAGGGATATATTTTAAATGAACTTGAAAATGTCATTTGCTTTTCATAAACTTCATAAAAATTCAAAATTATTTAAACGTATGGTTGTGACCAATATATTACATTGAAATAAAAGCGTGACGTCAGAAATTAGTACTAAAAATTGAAAGAAATCAATGTTATTAGAAGAATATTATCATTACTTTTGAAACAGAGTGATGCGGAAACTTGCTGAAAATATTATTAACATACTACCTCCGCTTCTAATTATAAGCGTTAGTTGACTAATTTAAAAAAATTAAAAAAATAAATTAAGTTAGTTATTTATAATAAATAGATATTGTCTTTTCTAAAATATCCTTGCTAATCAAATATTGGTTAGAACTCCTATTATTAGAAGAATTATCTTAAAAAAAATACATAAATATTAGAAACAAAATATATTATGGTTTTAGATTTAAGACCAAAATAAAAATCAAATAAAATCTTATATTAAGAACCGAAAGCAGTATTATATTTAATTTTTCAATTGTGTTCTTTTTAAGGCTTCGGAATGAAGATTTTAAAGTATAAGAATAAAATATTACAAGAGGCAAAGCTAATTTTTCGATCAGTTCATGACGTTTGACAAGTAACTTTTTGAAAATAAAATTTCGTACAATGTGCAATACTAAGAAATTTATCAATGACTTGTTATTTTGCATGGTGATCATTTAATAAGTTCATGAGAACAACGTAAATTCTTCCAACTGGATATGGAAATTTAATCAGATTTCAGGGCAGCAACAGGACACTAAATGTATGGTAAAGGAATCGTCTAGCATAAACATGAAAACAAATTGTAAACATACCAATCCCAGCTAAACAAGAGATTAGTGACCTAGAGAAAGAACAAACAAAGGCAACAAAACTGTTGGAAATATGATTCTGAAAAAACCAAATTACACAAGTTCTTAGCATGCTTTGGCGCAAAATAGAACAACTTCCAATCAAATAGTACTTGAGATCCACCTGCAAAGACCTTATCTTTACTCGTCATCCTCATCGTCTTCAGCAGCATCAACTGCAGAGTTGAGAGCTTGCAAACGAGCGATCAACTTAGCCTTCCTCTCCTCGTATGTAAGTTTCTTCAGGTTGTACCTGCACAAGACACACAAGATTAGTCCTTAGCAACTCAACTCTGTTCAAATACTCTGAAAGTACCAGACATATGTCGCGGAATCAATAACAGTCTGAATTCTCATATATTGACAAAAATAAATATTCATGATCCGTTCAGAAAGAAATAAGAAAAAATATATAATTTTCGGACATAAACGTAATCTTTTGTTAAACCTGAATGAATAATGAATGCATAAATGCATCGGGAACCTACCTCTTATGTTCCTTTGGTTGCTTCTTCTCAGACTTCTTTGCTGTGGGGTCAGCACGAATGGCAGCATGAACCTTTTTGTACATCTCCTCAAGTCCATCGGCCTCTAATCCTCGCTTGGCATATTCACTAAAGTGTGACTGGTATTTCTCTGGTTCATCTTCCATCAAAGTCTGCGAAAAGTGATCACATTCACATGTGTTGTCATAAGTCATAATATTTCCCATGATAGACAGAAAATTTGGCAGCAAATAAACTCTTATCCCATACCTTCATATATGCAGCAACATGACCACCAAAGATATATCTGCGATGAACCTCAGGATCAAGCTCTTTCTTATCCTTGTTAAAACCAGCAAACCTTTTGTCGCTGTGAGGGATATCTAATCCCCCATCCAATGCTCCCTGTAATCATCAAATTTACTAAGCTCCACAACCATGAAAGTATCAATTCAAATAACAGTCATGCGTGTTAATCCAAAACTTTCTTTTAGAAAAGTGGCACATAAAAACAAGCGGAACGAGAGCACACTTTATCAAAACCAACCATGTAAACTTGTATGCTGAATTTGAATCACAATTCACCCTTAGTACAGCCAGAACTCAAACTCTGAGATTCAGAACAAAATCGAGCTGGAACCTAATTTTTAGGTCAAAATAGGAGGTAGAACCAAAGTGCAATATTCAGTACCTTGAGGGCGCCAAAGACACGATTGCCAGTTGTAGTCTTAATAAGACCAACATCGAGTAGAGCACGGAAAGGCCTCCTGGTATCAGAAGGTTCGACAGAAAAGTCCTCTCCTGAAGCCTGACCAATAACAATGTCACTATCCTCATAAGCACAAAAATATGAGACAGAAAGGAGAGTTTGCCTAAATACCTCTACGTTGCCCTCATACTCCTCTTCCATTTCAAGCATTTTAAGGACTCGACGAGCCAAGAGAAGACCAGTGCAATAAGCTGGTCGCATTCAAAAATATATGAATCACAAAGGTAATAAGCAGTTGGCAGAAGTCATGAAAAATTAAAATTACATCTAACAAGTACCTGCAGCATAGTTTGTAAGACCTACTTCAAGACCATAGCGTGGCAACTCATGAGCATATGCAGCAGCAAGAACAATATCACCAGCAATACTAGCGGATGATATTTGTGCAATAATATCTTTGTTTGTCTAATAATGAGGTTAAGGTTAATAATCAAATAAACATTTCCAAGAGTCTCACATAATGTTCAACTGCTTTGTTCAAGGTAGTACATCTGTTTAGAGGACCAATTCTTTTTTTCACAGCAAGGGTAATTAAATATTTTCAATTATTTTACTCAGTTGCCAGTAAGACGTGTTACTATGTAGAACCATATCAACAGCAACGGTAGATGTCATTTGAGGAACAATATTCTTGTTTGTCACATAATGAGGTTAATGTTCATACTCAAACAAAGGTGAGCAAATGAAAGAAAGTTTAAATGAAATTTCTAAAGCACTTTGCTTGAGGTTGTATGTCTGATAAGAACACTATTTCTTTTTTTTTTTACAGCAAGAGCATCAACATATTTTCACATTTTTTTCACTCAGTTGTTAGCAAGTCAAATATTAAGAGTATTGAGTATAGACCAATGGAAGGATACAAATCGAACAACAAAGCGATATTTGGGAGTGTTGTACTTGTTCTTGTCCTGATTGATCAAGCGAATCCTAGCTCGGTAATCAGTTTTTCCCTCTGCAGATGTTTTTGATCAAAGAGAAAAATCATACAAGAGGAAACAAATTATCAACCGCATAAAAAAGCAAAACTGGGACCAAGATAAAATCGATAGTACCTCTTCTTCTCTTAAACTTAACTTGATATCTCTTGAAGTACGCCTTTGATTTTTGAGCCTTAACGTATGCCTTCGTTGGAGAAATGAAAATAAAACAAACTTCAATTCAAAGCCATTAATAAACAATCTTAAACGTCTCGGCCTCAGACTAAAATCCAACAAAACTATAAAATTTAAACCACAAACAGAGGATCTGTAACATTGAAATCTGACAAATGGAAAAGCATAGAACTAAAGATGCCAAGCATCAGAAGCAAATCACCGCAAAAGAATGAATCAGAAATAGACGTTTGCTGCGTAAAACTGAGTCA